CTGATCGGACATTATGACGTCATCATATTGCCATCTGAATTCAACAAACTGAATATTATCGATGACGTCATTTTAAAAAAATGCGCATTTGAGCGTATCTCGCTTATTCTTGATCGATTGTCTTCCAACTTTGAGTATGTTATAGCTAAGGCAATTTTCTTTAATATACGTACACTTCTTCACATTTTGATGACGTCATCATGGTCAAAATATAGGGATTTGCTTACCCCCTCATCTTTCTTTCGTCAAACCTTTGATGACTTCACCTTAATCATTCATGATTTCTGAATCATATTTAGTAGGCATAAACTTCAGGTCATGGTTAAATGTTATGTACATTATATTTTTGAGCGCGCGTAATAACACGAGCGTTCGCGTGCGTCAAAATTAAAATATGCTTTATATCAGATCTTTTTTTAATCAGTTATAGCTCCTTAGGATGAAAGGTGACCCCTAATTTTTATTACATATTCTGAAAGCACATGAGCTGTAGATATGATTTTATATATTATAATAGCTGATCGGACATTGTGACGTCATCATATTGCCATCTGAATTAAAAAACAAGAAAAAATTTATATTTCTTTTCTCAAAACATTGATGACGTCATACCATCTTAACCATTTGTCATTTCTGAATAATATAAATGGGCTTATACTTCAGGTCAAGGTTGAAAGTTAGGTACAGGTATCTTACTTTTTTGTTTGCACGTCTTAAGGTGCACGTACGCGTGCGTCAAATATTACTTATAATGCTTATAATTATGCTTATTTATCATCAAACATAGCTCCTTTGGATGAAAGGTAATCCCCAATTTTTATTACATATTCTAAAAGCACATGAGTTGTAGATACGATTTTATAGATCATAATGGCTGATCGGACATTGTGACATCATCATATTGCCATTTGATTTTTTTTTTAAATATATATATTTCCTTTCTCAAAACGTTGATGACGTTAAATCATCTTAAACATTCGTCATTTCTGAATAATATTAAATGGGCTTATACTTCAGGTCAAAGTTGAATGTTAGGTATCTTACTTTTTTGTTTGCGCGTCTTAACGTGCGTGTACTCGTGCGTCAAAAATTACATATGCTTATAATTATGCCTATTTATAATCAAATATAGCTCCTTAGGATGAAAGGTGACCCCCAATATTTATTACATATTCTGAGAGCACATGAGTTGTAGATGCGATTTTATAGATCATAATGGCTGATCGGACATTGTGATGTCATCATATTGCCATTTAAATTAAGAAAAAACTGACGTTATTACTTATTATACTCGTTTGAACGTATCTCGCTTATCTTGAATGATTTTTTTCCCCTATATTATAGCTAAACCAATTCTCTTTCAGACGTGTCCCTTTATTTTTCATTTTCATCACGTCAGTATGGTCAAAAAGAATTAATTTTAGGAGCCCTTTTATCTCTCATTCTTAAAAGATGTAAAGAGATAGAACAGAGAGAGGGCGGCAGACTGTATTTCGACGCTATCAGACTGATATATATATATAGGTTATATGAAGAGAAAATTTGTGTGGCATTACCAACTAACAGGCGGCTTTAAAAACACTTGACAATGTTTAATTTCGTGTGCCATTACTGTACACGCACACATCGTGACCTGCGCTTCTGTTAAAATTTGAAAATTCTCCATATCACTATTCAGATAGTTTAAAGAACGTTTCGGGTCATTTTCAGCGTTCCAAAACTTTCCATATTTATGCGCCATACGTTCATTTCCACGCACGCAACACGTACTAAAGCTGGAAATCACGTTTGTTACATACTTTGTGTTCTTGACACATTATTCAAATCAGGAGTCACTTTTTGTGCTATTACCGTGCTCACGGGCGTCAAGACGTACGTGTACGCATGCGTAAATTTTTCAAAATGCTCAAAATTATTCTTTTTTAAAAAACTAATTACAGCATATTTTAGCATATTATGACACTTTTCAATCAGCACCGCGTGAGCTTTATAAGGGTCAAAGTACAGCGAATCACCTAACTCGTCCTCAGTGACAAGTTCAAATCTAGTTAGCATTTGGGGTTCCACAAAGCTCGGTAGTGGGTCCCTCTCTTTTTAGCCGATATATTAGTCCGCTTGGAGACATCATCAGCTGTCATTGTATTAATTATCATTTTTATGCCGATGATCTGCAACTATATCTAGATTTAGATCCTTCTGATCCCTCTACTGTTGATCTGGCTTTAGATAAGTTTAGGTTATGTATCAAGGATATTAAGATTTGGATGGCTCAGAATAAGCTAAAACTTGATGATAAAACAGAATTCATTGTATGTGCTTCCAAGATTCACTTTCAGCTTGATCACGTTAAACAGGCTTCTCTGTCCCTTGGAGAACTTATCATTTTTCCTACTAACGTGGTTAGAAATCTTGGTATCTGTGATGTATAATGCCAATAAAGAACCCGAAAACTAATTCAAAGTTGTACTGTACTTTTATTGAATCAACAACTAGTATCGTGAACACATAGCAACAACATCCAAAGTAAAGGGCAAAAAAAAAAAATACTACTGTCTGGCTAGGAGGGTATGGCTGGAACTATTGTTTGGTTCTTAACCAATCAAATGCCTGGAATCTATGTAGTTGGTATATATAAATATAATTAATAACCTTTAAGTATTTTTAAGCTGGTTAAAAAAAAGCAACAAACAATAATTAGTGACACTGTAATAATTCCAGACGGATTTCAGCAACATGATCAATCTTGACCCTGTCTCTTATACACATCTAGATGTGTATAAGAGACAGCTTCTGATCCCTCTACTGTTGATCTGGCTTTAGATAAGTTTAGGTTATGTATCAAGGATATTAAGATTTGGATGGCTCAGAATAAGCTAAAACTTGATGATAAAACAGAATTCATTGTATGTGCTTCCAAGATTCACTTTCAGCTTGATCACGTTAAACAGGCTTCTCTGTCCCTTGGAGAACTTATCATTTTTCCTACTAATGTGGTTAGAAATCTTGGTATCACATTCGATTCCATGTTGTCATTGGCCATTGTTGTCATGTTCAGTCTATATGTAAGTACCATATTCGTAACTTATGGAGGATACGCCAATTTATTGACCATGACACCTGCTGTTCGTGCATTTGTTTTATCAAGAATTGATTACTGCAATTCATAAGTTGACTGTTACAGATTCTCTAAAATTACAGAAGTTGCAGAATTCTGCTGCACGTCTCATTTTTAACATCAGATCCTCTCATACTCACGCATCACATCTTCTCCGTGAACTTCGCTGGCTGCCTTTTAGGCAAAGGGTTTATTTCAAATTAATGGTCCTCGCTTTTAAGTCACTGTCTGGCCTTTGCTCACAATATATCTCTGACTTTTTACTTATTTAACAAAACATATTGGTTACAAATCTTTTCCGTGCGAGGTGCCACTCATCTGGAATAACCTTCCAGTGCACATTTGATCATCACCATATTTGGCTGTCTATAGGTTTAACGTAAAGACTCACCTCTTCAATTTATTATCTTCATATTTATTTTTATTTCATTTATTGTTGCATTATTTTATTATGATTCTGAACTTTGCCACTGCTTCTTTTGATTTGTTTACTTGTTCTATGCTTGGGTTAGGCAATGATCATGACTGCCTGTGGGTTGTGAGGTGCCTATAGGTATGTGGAGTGCAGCGCTTCGTATCTGCAAAGAAAGGCGCTTTATAAATGACCTGATTGGATTTGAATAATTCAATAATTTTCTGTCTTGTATTACTATAACAATATATATTTTATAATGTTCAATGTATATCTCTATTTTTATACCTTTTTATGTAGTACTGTATTTTGTATATTTTACAAAGTGGAACTCACTTTTTTTGTTCGATGTGACATTAATTTATTATTCGGGGGGGGGGGGAGGATGTACAGGTAGTTAAAACCTGTTTATCTCTTCACTTTCGCTGCTTTTTCTGTATTGTTATTCTGTTACCTTTGCTCGTTGTGTGTGCAGTCATGAAGCTTTATAGATAAATGTTTAAAAAAGAAGCACAATAGTAAAATGAATTTTTTGTATGCAATCTGTGGATGTTTGCGGTCCCCTGTCCAGGTCCCCCAGTCCTAGGCCTGACGGCCGTGCTTGACGCTTCAAATCAAAAGGCCCAGAATTATAACTTGCACTGGAGCCCATCATCACCTAGCTACGCCGCTGAACAAATCTGTATTGGAACAGAATTTAAGGCCTTATTAATATTTGCATTTTTATTTTATTTTATTTTTTTATATTTAACTGTTTTTATTGTAAACATCGTGCAATTCAGCCTTTAGGCTGCAATTTCGATGTGTTTTTTGTATAAATAAATGAATGAAAATGAAAAACACTGATTCCACATTCTTGAGTTGTGAAGAGGCGTAGGCCTACAGTAGGTAGACCAGAACTACATTTTTGATAACGCCTGCATTTGATAAAAAATTTACACTCGGTAAATCACAGTTGTGGCTCCAAGATCAGGGGTGGCGCCAGCGGGAACCAGGGGACCAGCCCCCCCCACCCCACACTGTTGGACAGAAAATCCACAATTTGTCGGGGAGAAAAAATGTATATATGTATTTTTTACATATTAGTAGACTCCAAAACCAATTAAATAAGCCTTTGAGACCCCTAAATTGTTATGTTTTTCGGGGGCTTCGCCCACTGGAACACTTTCTAGAAATTCTGAGCGACACCCGACCACGCCCACATTTTTTGTGGGGGACATCAGTCCCCCACCGGGAACCTCAGATCTCCCGTTGGGCAAACCTTTGCACCACCACTATTCAAGATACTCTTCAAATATTCGGACGGCTTACAAAACTTGTTTTTTCATATCACTGGATGTAAACTCACTCACAAATCTCATGTTCATCAACCAGTTTAAATCTAGAACAGTCTGCCATTGTTATTTTCAGCCTACCAATTCGCAGTGTACAGCAGAGTGATCGTCAGCTTCCAGGTCATCAAATTAGATCAATTAATTTGATTAAATTAGTAAAAGCGCGCCCTTAACAATAGACTTAGCATAAATTTCTACATCGCGATGTACGAGCACCTTGCAAAAGGGCAAAAAAAAAAAATACTACTGTCTGGCTAGGAGGGTATGGCTGGAACTATTGCTTGGTTCTTAACCAATCAAATGCCTGGAATCTATGTAGTTGGTATATATAAATATAATTAATAACCTTTAAGTATTTTTAAGCTGGTTAAAAAAAAGCAACAAACAATAATTAGTGACACTGTAATAATTCCAGACGGATTTCAGCAACATGATCAATCTTGACCCTTATATTGGGATCATAAAACATTATAGTACGGAACCATGGTTCTATACTATAGCAGAAAGCCTTGCTTCATTCTGCAATGATTGCAACCTACTTACCTCTATTAACTTGCTTTTCATGATATCCTAGTTGGCTATCTGTGTTGATACCTGTACCCCAAAGTTTTGATGAAGTTGGACCATTACTGCTGAACAGTGAAAAACCATAGCCACATGCAACATCAGTTATCTAACAAAAAAATTAGGAACATTGAAATTAACGATAGGCAACGATACGCTGACTTAAGGGGACCTCCTAAGTCTTTTAATAGAAAAATTTACATGCAAATTTAAATTTGGGAGTGCCACTTCTGGCCATCTAGAAGTGTAGATGTGATAGACATAAAATTTCCAACCTTAACGCCAACCATGGTGGGCCTCAGGTAGTCTGGACCCTCAACATATAAAATTCCTTTTTTTGGACCCCCCCCCCCCGGCCCCCCCCCCCCCCTCTATCTTATATTTCCACTGGCACATCATCTATCAGCTTTACAGCACACTGTTGGAAAGTATTTATGAGACCTCTTTCCGATCAATATCATCCATAAAGTGGGGTACGGGAATCTGTAGAGGGGAGATGTTAAAAATGTGTGGAATGAATTGGAATATTTTCCGAAAATATTTTGATCCTGCTAATTTAAAAATCCTCAATTGACTTGCTTTCAGTATTAATAGTTATTTCAACTACATGAAATGGATTCCATTTTTTGAAATTCTAATTATTTGAATTTATTATTATTTAAAATACCTCATTGATCCAATCTATAGTACTCTTACAAAAAAACAAAATACTGTATGTTGGCCTACCTTTTCTTCAAAGAAAAGCAAATACGGAGCAGTTTGTTTCTTCCGAATTGGAACATTAGGCTTCGGTTTGACAAATGTTGGTACTCCTAGGCTTCCAGTCACAGAATTTCCCCAAACATATACACGGTGCTTTCGCTGACGATGGTCACCACTAAACTGGTAGACGGGCAATTCCTCTGCCTCTCGTTTATTAACATATTTATTAGAATTTTCTCTGTAGATTGTTGAAGATGCAACAGTCTGCTTTGAGATCACACGACTGATAGAAAATTTGATCCGATCAACGAATATCGAAGTACTTTCAAAGAAAATCCAATTTCCATGTGTACCTATTCCTTGTTTGAATATTTTCAGAATGCTTAAATTTCTTGTTACAGTATACATGATCAGAAAACAATTTAATATATTAAAAATCTTCGTTTTCTACTGTATTTCATGTCAGCTTAAAGGAAAATCAAATCTGATTTGTACCAGAATTCTTAGAAGACAACCTGAAAAAAAAAAGGAAATAATAAAATTTAACATTAATATCCACTCAAAAAAATAATCATTAATTAGTTAAAAAATTATTGGAACTTAAAATTAAACATACACATTCCTTATTTTGGACCAAATATAGCCCAAGCTTCACAGGATGATCCATATAGGTTCAAGCTGTAAATAAAGTATATACAAGACTGAACTAAACTACTATACTACTATGGTACCATACAAGACTGAAAATAAGGCCTGTGCGGGAATATATCCACCACACAAAAACTAGGGTAGAAATTTAAGAGAATAAGGGTCGCGAAATTTTGAATAAAATTATAATTCAAAACAAAATTGAACACACGTTGAACACAAGCCGCAAAACACATTATTGGGCGGAAGTGATGGCCAATTACCCATTCTGAGATATTGCGGCCGAAACGGTCCTGTCTAAACTTCCTATTGCCGGAGCCTAGCTACAGGTAAGCTAGACTCTATGCCTAGGCACCTAGGCCCTACCTACTGTAGCTAGGACTACACAAAAGAGGAAAGCTAGCGTACACCTGGCCTAGCCTAGGCCATATTTAGGCCTATTATAACTCGATGGCTAGGCAATGCTAGGTTGCGCCACAGGCCCATTTTGTTTACTGATTATTTAACAAAGTATTAATATTATAAAATATGTGCTGTATGTACTCAACGTCCTGGACTTTGATGAAGAAAGTTAATTGCAAAGTCTGAGTTTTGACTTGTTGTTGTGCACAAGGAGAAACAAACATGTGGTTTTGTTGATAATTTAGCGCCCTCTTCTGGTCCCTTGAAAAGGAGTGAGAGAGGAGCGAGAGAGGTACGTTGTGAGCTGGGATCGAGCTGGGAGTTGGTGTGTCAACAGATTGTAGACTCGTGACTCGGTGAAATATAGCATATAGATCGATCCGGCCTTCTTATCGCTACGAACAGTAAACTAGTTAAGCTGAGTCGGGGCCTAGCTTGGTAGACCGATATGAAAATGGCCTTTGAAAGGACACAAATCAATTTATATCGACAGTGTAGCATGTGCAACGGTAGACTATCGTTTCTGGTCATAGGATATGTATAAAGGTGAGATTATGTATAACATATTATGTCTGTAAAACTGTAGGCCTATACTGTAGGTAGGTAAATTATTATTTTTTAGTATAGATAGTTAGGCCTACCTACTGTAGGCTTGGTAGGCCTAGGCCTTCCACCCTATGTTCCTAGGCCTATATAGACATAGGGCCTAGCCTAGGCAAGGCCACTTGCAGTGTCTAATACCCTATTCAGAGTACACTCAATTGCGATCGGTTGCAATATAATCGGTGGTAATCCAAAACTGATTGATTAGTCCTGATCACAATCAACAAGCGCATTCAGACCAACAAGAAAAAACTTTACATTTATCTAGGGCCTCCAGTAGTTATGCTAACAACAGTATGTTGACTGACCTCAGCCAAACTTGAAACAGTGCCTGTTGAATTTGTTGAGATTTGTTGCGATCGGATTCCGTGGTAATCGGGAGTATTAAAGATTGTAGCACCCAATCCCAACGGGTGACAATTGCGATGTCGACTACTCATTGACTACTTATTTATTATTCATTACATTATCACTCCCGCCCTCATCAAAAATTCGGGAAATATTGATGTGGGAATAAAAAAAAAATATTTTTCCTGCATCAATTATATTTTAACACCATAAAAATAGCAATGCAATTTTGTGACTTCAAATACATTTTCTTTAAAAAACTATGAAATTAAACCAGTTTTTATACAATATTTACTATTACTAGCCAAATATAAACAGTCCCTCCCTCATCGATAAAAACAAAAGCAAAATAATCTATTGTTCCGATTAAAAAAAACAAAAAAACAAACAAACTGCCCTCCCTCATAAAAAAAAAAAGAGTGGTAATCTAATAATTTTTTCTATGTGCCCTAACCATAAATAAATTGGTTTATAAATGTCATGTTTTAAAATTTAAGACTTTAAATAATTTTAGAAATCCAAATTAATCCATGTTCTAGTCACTCCTGCAAAAATATCTTGAATCCACCATTGAATACACTTTACCATGAAGTAATACACATACACTAGATCCTTTTTTTTTTATTGAATTTTTAGATTTGAACAACATGAAGAAAACCTTTGCATCAATATCTACTCAAACACCAGACCCTGAGGTTGAAGAATTCCAATCAAAATTGCCAACATGTAAAAACTGTGGAGTGCATGAGTATCATTTGGACATTAGTCATAAGCCCCTTAGTAACCAGTCCTTCCAGAACCGTCCAGTGTATCTACCAGGTGTTGCTAGTGTTAGAAGAGCCTTCAGCTTTCCTCGTGATTATGAAAATGTTTGGAGCACCAACATTGCTAATTCTGAAAATTCTTCCCGTTTTCAAACCCGGAAGAAAGATAGTGATTCAACATGTGAAGAAAACTTGAGAAAGAAAGATTTTGATGCCGATAGCTTAATGAATGTGGATTTTAATTTATTCAAGTTATCTGATCAGAAATCAGCAACAAATCAAGCTATAATGTGCAATAACAAACGGAATATTCAATCAAGTGGACCCCCTCCATATAGTCGGTATTATGAACGGCGCTCGTCTGATACCCGAGAATACTTTTCCCAATGGACATCTGAAGGGCATAGCGATTTCCAAGAATATATTCCACAGCTGGAAAATGTTGCGTATGGCCCCGTTGTTATGACCCAGTTGGATCACAGTGAGGGGGACGGTCTTCATTATGTGGATTCAGAGTCTGAGGAAGAGGATGACATTCACGAACACAATGAACATGATAGTGATGTGTTCAGCATTCTGGAGGTGGGGATCGAAGCAGGGCAGAGCCGCGAGCAACTACTATCAGACGGTTCCATTAATGCAGATATCTTCAATGACATTGATACGTATATGACTCTTATTGTTGGTGGGGCTGCTGGGCAAAATCCTGACTTGCAATCAAGTACACCACCCCCATTGTTCCGGCGAGGCCATGCTGAGATATCCAGCTGCCAAGTGTGCTTTTGTGTAGAATCACTACATGTCCGTGTGTGCTGTGGTTTACCAGTTTGTGATCAGTGTTTGAAAGAATACTTTACCACTCAAGTGAAACAGCGCATTGTGAAAATATCTTGCCCAGATTCTGCCTGCAAGGCTTTTGTGTGCCGTGAAGAAATATCATACTTCCTTGAGCCGGAGTTTAGAGACAAGTTTTACCGTTTCTTGCTCGAGGCAAACTCTGATCCAAACACTAAAACTTGCCCACGATGTAATCATTTGACTTCCTTAAAGACAGATGGTGCTAAGAATTCACCAGATAGTTTTTCAGCAGTTACTTGTGAAGAGTGTAATCTTGAATGGTGTTTCCCTTGCCACGCCCCATGGCATAAGGAATTAACATGTAAAGAATGGAGAAGAGGAGATCGGATGCTGAAGCAATGGGCCAAAGAATGGAGCTTTGGACAACAAAATGCCCACAGGTGCCCTAAGTGCAAGGTATTTATCAAAATGCTCATACTACTGTATTCTATGCAGTTTTACTTTCAAAATACGGAATCATTTTTTGGAATCTCTTTTGAAAGATTATGGTAATACGCTATTTAAAATTACATTGAAGAAAATTATTACTAATTAACTTGATTATCTTTCCAATCACAATTTTTTGCATGTACAGTATTAGGCTATACAGTATCATTATTAATTCAGCTATTTTTAGTGCAAAGGTGAAGCAATTACAGGTATGTCATTTTCCAGTTCAAGAGAATTATCCCCTACCCCACTAAGATACTCAATATATTAGCATTCATTCACACTTTGGTCCTAATTTTTAACTATTTATAATTGCATACAGTGAGTATACTAATTGATTTGTATATATCTAGGTGCTAATTCAGAGAGTGACAGGCTGTGATCACATGACATGTTCGCATTGCAAAACTGAGTTCTGTTACCAATGTGGGGAACGTTTCCGAGGCATGAAGTTCTTTGGTGATCATTACTCACGTTACAGTGTGTTCGGCTGCAAGTATCGCTTCAAGCCTCATGATCCCATGGAGAGACGTGCTGTTCGAGGTGCAGTACTAGGTATGTGACAATTCTCAATCAGTGAAAGACACCAACGTTATCTCCCTATTCCAAACTGTCGACTAATTTTCACTAGTGCATGGTTTGCTTGACCTTTTTGCAGTTCATGTGCAAAATGTCTAACAAATTACTGTATGTATCGTGCACAGTAAGGAATATTCTAGACTAGTACTTTTTACACCTAGCACCTGCAGAAAGACAAGGCATGTATACAGTATGTGCAATTGTCATTTCTTGACATGAGAATTTAAAACATTAAATTCATGGCAAAAGGTAAATTTTGATAAGACCCGAAGAAAGTAAGAGGCCAAGGGCGAGGCCTACATTAGATAAAATCATCACAATTTTACCCGTCTGCACCAACCAAAAAAAGGTGACTGCTTATCCAAAAGCTTGTATAGTGTTAGTGCATACTACAGCCGCACTTGCCATACATACAGCCAATGTACAATGCGCACAGCTGCTGTGTACTACTAATCAAGAAGCAACTTCGGACTGACTACATAGCAGTTTTATTAAATATACCGTATATACTCGCATACTAAATCCTTTCCAAGCCACTAGGGGCTCAATGGGCTGGAGCTTATCCCCAGTTTCCGTAGTGTGAAGCGGATGAGAGTTGTACTCCCCCTGGACGGGACACTAGTCCATCGCATGTTCCAGCGCCTCGAGGTTGTGTCAACGTGAGGTGCTATATAAATCCAGAATTATTATTATTATTACTCGCATATAAGTCAAGGCTTAAAATAGCAATTTATGATCGAAAAACAGGGGGTCGTCTAACTGTATACGCACAACCTACAAATTTTAGATTTTTAAAATCATATTCGTCTTTAATGTGTGGATCCTCCGTAACAGGCGAATTTACTACTGTGTTGAAGCTACTAAATGTTAGTGTAAATGAATGTAATTTTATATACGAGGAAATATGATTTTGATGAACATTAATTAAAAATCTCATAAAATGGTATTATTTGAGAGATTAGCCTTGCGTTTGGCTCCGTTTTTAGCCAGTTGGATGCAGTATCAGGACCACAAAAAGTAGAAAAAATTAGGAATTCCGACCATGAAACAGGGGATCATCTACACCTGACATACAGTACAAAAATCGTCCAAAAATCTTGCGAAACTCTTTGGTCTTCTTTTACATGGGTCGCCCTATACGCTAGTGTATGCAGTATACAGTGGTTTCACCCAGAGTATTTTCAATAACATTAAAAGATACCGATTGACTTCGCAATTGGTAGCATTGCTTATCTACACACTGGAGGAAATGATTAAACCATCATAAGATTATATTTAAAATTATTTTCAGTGCACTTATTTAAAGTGCATAAACAAAGGTGCAGAAAGTATACCAATGTAAATGTAAAGTGGTTAACTTGGGTTAGGATAGACGGAATGATTCAGATGGGTTTTCAATTTCGTAATCCAGAGTGGGTGGAATTTTGAATAGAATTAAAGCACTCCTCTTGTAATTTAAATTTTTTCTTTGGTTGTACACAGTAATTATTACTATGTTAAATATTAGCTAGAAGCTGTTGGTTTCAGTTTTGAATCATATGGACTGTGAAAAAAATGATTAAATTTTAGTCGTCTGGTTATGCAGAGCAATGTACGCTAAGATTATTTGATTAACTGTAGACAGTGTTGTTGTGTTAACAAACAATTTCCAAAATATGTGATCCATGAAAACAGATGAAAATTTATGATCAATTAAGCAATTTTTTTTTTGTGTAAACCAAACTGGGTAAGGTTTCTATTATTCAATTACAAAGCATTAATATCAGCCAATCAATGAGATCAAACTTGACAATAGTACTGTTGCCAAGCACAAAGGCACAACAGTAACTGTATCTACTACAACAGCCAATGTAAGTATCAGTATAACTATATGATTAAATTAATTACAGTTCCCTCACCAGTGATCCTATAATTCTGAGACACCTCTAATTCAAGACCACTTTTTCAAAACCAGAAGCCTATACCCCAAATGTTCAAGTACCAAAGGTGGTCGTGAATTGGGGGGGGGGGGGGAAACACTACATAGAATGCTTGTACCCTGCAACACTTCAAATAATATGATACTGTACTGCCCTGTAATCAAATCAGCTTTAAAATGTTTTTGTTGTATTGAATTATTTTACTTTGTACAATAAGTAAATATTATTTATCTGAAAATTATAAAAAGAAAACAAATTCCTTATTAAATAATTACCAAATATACTCATAATGTGGGGAAAGAGGTGACAATGTAGATTAATTGCCTTGCCCAATGACAAAAGTGGTACTTATTACTTCAAGACATGAACACACTTGATTTTGTAAATGGAAACCCATCAGTCAAATTCTTTCAATTGGAGTTTTTCAGAAGAGAACCAGGAAAATGTCCAGAAATATACATGTTTACGTATGTTTACGCATTATGCATTGCAACCAGTATTTAATTGTATGTGAGTTGTGATGGATTTTATATGGAAACCTTTCACTTACAATGTTGCTTTATAGCTTCAGAGTCGTAAAGCCTCTGTAATGTCCACTCAGCCTTTTGTCAAAGGTTGCAGGACTTGTTTGAATTGTAGATAAATAATGTAAGTTGTTAGATAAGGACATAATCAGTATGATTCATAAAGTATGGATGGTGTCAATAAACAGATAATATAGAGCACAATAAACAATGAAGGCCTAATAAAAAAAAATTACCGGTATTAGTTTATCACCCTCACTGGCAATCACAACACATCACAATTTAATGATAATTAAATTTAATATTTTTGCTTGCTCCAAACCACTAAATGTACTACTGATGTTTCGCTATATTAGTGTAAAGCTTTGTCTACACTATCAAATTTTGTGTGACAAAAAAGTGTGATATGCCCATATATGGGCTTGATGACATCACACCATGACCATATATAGGCATAGTGTTACTATATATGGGCATGTCACATTTTTTTGTCAAAGAAAATTGGATAGTGTGGATAGAGCTTTAGGATAACATTATTTTTTTTAGGCCTGTACCGTATTCATTCAAATAAACACCCCGCTTTGAATAAACTTTCCCCTCTCAAATATATTCCCCCTCTAGAGCCTCTTTGGAATAAACGCTTCCTCAAAAACCAAGATAACATCAATATATGCCCCGAGGCATTTATTTAAATAAATAGGGTAATTTTTAGAAGAGTAGCTAGGAATTTTACATAGCTTCATGGAACATTTCAACCTCAACTAATAGTAATTGGTAGATTTGTTTTTAATTTGGTATATTTGTAAAAATTGACCTTAAAGTTGAATAATATGATGAGCCGTAGTCTAATACATAAAACAGTAAGAAAGGAAGAAGTAGCGCTTTGAAACTACTTAAGATTTTATTATCACTGACCTTAAAGTGTTATTAATCTTTAATATTTGAAATTCCTAAAAAAAGTTGATTGATTTGAAATCACTGTCATTATCAATCAATCATCATCATAATCATCAATTATTGCTGTCATCATTATTGCCATTATGCTATTGATGGTATATTACATTATAAAATGCAGGGCCCCAATGGAAATCACTTTTTAATTTTTTGCGTTAAGTAAATAAATTAGCATCATCGTCATACTGTAATCATTTTTTTTTTCTCATTCTTCCACTTTATTAAAAAACCGACATATACAGTAACAAAAAAAATGTACTGTATACAAAGAACAGTACATAATGCAAATTAATAAATAACTTAAAGAAACACTGTAATCATGATGATGATAATCATCATCATCATTATTATCAAAATTATTTATTCATTCACTTTTTATTCATGCATTCATTGCCAAATATCAAATACAAATACAAAATTTCTCTTATGTTTAACCCCCTTTACAAGAGTACAATATATATATATAAAAAAAACATTACATTCATAGGAAATAATAATAAATGATAATAATAATAATAATTATTATTATAGTAATATAACAATAATAATAAGCCTAATAATAATTATTATAATAAGTTAAAGGTCAGCATCAGTCGAAATAGACTATGCAATATTTTACTTTACATTAGTTAATGTTAATTAATATTATTAAGTTTCTTTATAATTTAATTTCTTATTTTACAAATAATCTCAATAATTTATTTGCTTCCTGCAGCTCTGGAGATGATGAAGATAATAATAATAGTAATAATAATAATAATAATAATAATAATAATAAAATCATGATAACGATAATAATATCATAATAATTGTCATCGCCATCTTCATCTTTAGCATTATTAATCATCCTAATAATCAGCATTAACCGGTTTAATACCATCATTATGTTTTTAAAAAATCTAGTTCAAAATGTCATCAAAAACAAGATCGTCATTACAGTACATGTGATGGTAAACCAGCGAATTACCTGGCTTCAGTAACTGCACTCAGCATCAAGTAGATTGTCTTAAATTGGTGGGTCTTGCCCTTTAATGTGTCTAATGTATAAATTATTAGACATCTCTTGCGAGCAGTACTGTAGATGATTACTATAAATGTATCAGATGGATTGAGCTTGTGTAATGTGGAAAAATAAATTAGCAACCATCTGTACAATTAACATTTTGTCAAAATTCACATATTGCACTTTAAAAAAAAAGGCCATGTACACATGTTTATTTATGCCTCTTGCTTTTGAATTTTTAAGATGCCTTTTTTTCCCCCCCCCCCTTTACCTGCACCCACAATCTCTTAGATATTCATCTGAATAATCAGCGAGTATTTGTAGGTGTCTCAGCTTAGCATATCAATTGGTGCGTTTAATGTCAATCTTTTGGAGGTAAAAGGAGGAGGGGGAAGACTAATTCCCCTTTTTATTATTATTTGGAGACAAAGTCCTCTTTTATTTCTTTAAGTCACTGGCCCATGGAATTAAAACACACACGTTTTCATGCTACTTGAATAGTAGGCCTACCAGCAAGAACGGAAATATGAAAAACAAATGTACAGTTCTGTACAGTATTGTACTTCAAAATATATT